ACTTGTTGCATGCACATCACATTGGGGAAAGAACAAATAATCAAAATTATTAGGCTTTGAAGTTTAAGGTCATTAGGAATTGGAATATTTGAGATGAACAATCTGAGATATCAGTCAAGACATTACTTAGTTATCAATACTATGGGAAACTATGATATGGTTTTAGGATATCCAACATATAAAATAAAATTTGAAAATGTTTCTCATACTTCCTTTTGTCTCATAATTTCATAGAGTGTCTTTTTTGAGGAAAAAAATAGCCAAGCCTCATTTTATCTCAAAATTCTGTGAATCAAGAGAAGTGCTTTAAGGAGAGGTCAAGGCATTCAATCAAAACCTCCTGTTTTAGGTTGGAAGTTCCGGCTCATTGAGGAGGAAAATGTGATGTGTTTCTTGGAATAACTGGTCACACCAAAGTGTAGGTAGACTTTTCTTTTTTAAAGAATTCGATGCAAGGATTACAGAGATCTCTTTTATTTATGAAAATGGTATTACTCATTAATGAATCAGGCTTTTTCTTACACTAGAAAACAATCACATGCTCATTACTAAGGATACCTCTGTTAGCAAGAGCTGTCTCATCAGTAAACAGCTAAAAGTGGGAGCCAAACATGAACATAAATGGGATGTGAAACAAATTTAAGATCTTTGAAATGTAAGTGAGCAGCACATATAAGCAATGATGGTATTAGACCTCCTAAGCCATCTTTGAGCAGGTGGGTAAAGTACTAGGGACAGATGAACTCACGACCATATCTAGGACAAAAGGTCTGAGACAAAGGGGTGAGGTCAGACATGAAGAGATTTCATGTAAGCTATCAGAAGACCCACTTTCACTGCACTCCCACATTTGAGTCTCTCTCCTATTGGTCACCTGTCTTAATTATTCAAAATAGAAAATTTAAATATCTCTTCAGGTTCAGCCATTGACTATGGTCCAATCTTATCTGGAGTATGATATATCTGAGATCCCTGAGGAAACTTTACTCTTCTTTCCCTAATGGTTTCTTCAGAGACAAGTTGTTTTCTTCCATAAATTAGCAAATTAAATGTAGTATAAATTTTTTTATTTTAATTTTTTATGTGGGATAAGAGGAGGGTTGGTGATTGTTATTTCTGCCTTCCATAAATTAGTCACCAGAGTGAAGTACTGGAACAAGAGAACCTAAAAGCAACTCCATTAGGTGACTATTGCAGCATAAAAGACCCTAAATTTAATTATCTGTGTTCACTGTGTTTTCTGAAATGTACTCTATTCTAGACAAAGTGGATCCTTATTGATTTATTTAATGCCTGTTTATATTTTGGTTTCTGTATCTTATTTTATTTATTGTTTTAGGAAAAAAAGACTGCCTTTCCCTTGGGTAGCAATAAAGATGATCAGTGTAACTGAGGTTTGGAAATCAACTGCTCTCTTTTCTGTTATTTTTATTATTTTTTATTAGTCATCTTGTAAGATTAAATATTTTTCAGACTATTATTTGGATATAATTATGCCCTGTCACATAAGAGACTTTTCATTCTTGAAGTTTAATTTTTTGTGACAAAACAATATTTCAATTGATTTACTCTTCAAGGCTGCTGTAATTGACGAGGTTTGTCTAATTTTTGACGAGAAGCTCTATAATTCTCCTGTATATAAATACTTACTGAGTTATAAAAACTTGTCTAGAAAACATGTCTTGTTCCCAACCCACCACATAGTTTTCCCCTTTCATTAAAAAAACAAAAAACAAAAGGTGTTCTATAATGCCAACTTTGTTTTTTTTTTTTTAAAGGACCAGAGGAAAACCAATATCAGCTCCTCTACCTCCTCAAATGCGGGGAGTGTACTCCATTCCTCACCTGCTGTGCTCTCAGCAGCACTCCAGACTCTTGCCCTAGGGCCCCTCCTTCCACAGACCCTTCTCTATGAGGGTATCATGAAGAGTGATTGGATTGGTAGACTGGTAAAAACCTAGAACAGTTCTTAATACGTAATGAGCCTGCAATTATTCAATTAACATCCTTAATCTATGTTCTCCCCATAGAAATTACACCCACTCCCATTGTTTCAATGTTACTGATATTCCTATGACTCCTAAATTTATATCTCCAGTCAAGATCTCTTTCCTGAGCTTCAGACATTAAAAGTTTCCTACCTCTTATCTCCCCTTAACTGTGATCCAATTATAATTTGTCTAAATCTAAACTCATGATTTCACTTGCAAACCGGATAATTTCTAATGATTATCACATTACATATAATACCCCTTCATGAAGTTCCTTAGTTTTCTAATTTCCTCTTCCCTTCCTATCATTTATTTATCCATTAAAAAATTGGGGGGTTATCAACTATGTGTAAAGCATTATGGCAGAGAATATAATGGTCAATAAAACTGATACAGTCAGTTCTCATAAAGTTTTCAATCAAGTGAAAGACACAGATTACACTCTACCCCAAAACCTATTAAAACAAGGCCATTACACTTCTTTTTAGCAAATACTCTAGTCAAAGCCACTCTCTCTTTCCTGAACTAGAATAATAACCCCTCACTGGGTTCCTACATTCACTCTTTCTCTGCTTTCTCTTCCCCTCAATGGAGCTACCATCTTCAAGGAGATCTTATTATCTCATCCTTTGCATAAGTCCTTTCAGTGGCTCCCTGTAGTATGTAAGATAAAAACAATCCTTCATAGCCTTCCATGGCCCTGCCTAACCTCATTAGCTTTACGCACCCTGACTCACTCCTCGATTTCTGTTTTAGCCCTGATGGGCTCCTTCCTGCTCCTCCACAGTGCTTCATGCCTCAGTGCATTGCACCTGTCAATCCTTCTGCAATGGGCACTCTCTTATTGCTCTGTCTTTGGCTGGTAACCCTCAGCTAAAATTTTGTCTCTCATGAAAGTCTCCCCTCATCCTTCTTGACTAAACTAGAATTCCCATTACACTCAAAGTACTTTATGAGTTATCTTCATGACATTTAATATGGTATATGGTTATGTACCAATTTGAATCATTATTTGATTAATATCTGTCAACATTCAGCTTCAGCCATAAGAAAAGTAGATTTTACTATTGCGTTTTGTTTATGAGGGAACATGACGTGTACTTTATTTTTTTAATTACTTTTAATTATAATTGACATACAGTATTATATTGCTTTCAGGTGTACAACATAGTGATTCAACATTATATACCTTACAAAATAACCACTATAACAAGTCTAGTAACTATCTGTTACTGTTACATACTTACTATGATGTTATTGACTTTATTTCCTGTATTGTACATTTCATCCCCATGACTTACTCTATAACTGAAAGTTTGTACTTTTTTTTTTTATTGTTAAAGTATTACAGATATCCCCTCTTTTTTCTGACATTAACCCCCTTCTCCCTACTCCCACTCCCCTCCGGCCTTCCTCAACCTAATTTCTGTGTCCATTGGTTATGCATGTATGCATATAAGTTTTTTGGTTTATCTCCCCCCACCCCCATCCATCTGAGGTTTGTTAGTCTGTTCCTTATTTCCATGACTCTGGATCTATTTTTGTCAACAGCTTATTTTGTTCATGATGTTCCATAAATAAGTTAGATCATGTGTTACTTGTCTAGAGTACTCATACAACTCAACAAAAGGAAGACAAACAATCCAATTAAAAAATGGGCAGAGGACCTACCTGAATAGATACTTCTCCAAACAGGACATATAAATGGCCAGGAGACATGAAAAAATGCTCAACATCTCTAATCATCAGAGAGTTACAAGTTAAAATGACCATGAGATACTACCTCACACCTGCCAGAATGGTGGTCATCAACAAATACTCAAACAAGTGCTGGCAAGGGTGTGGAGAAAAGGGGACTCTAGTACACTGCTGGTGGGAATGCAGACTGGTACAGCCACTATGGAAAACAATATGGTGTTACCTCAAAAAATTAAAAATGGAATTGACATTTTACTCAGTGATTCCACTTCTAGGAATATATCCCAAGAAGCCTGAAACACCAATCAGAAAGAATATATGCACCCCTATGTTCATTGCAATGCTATTTACAATAGCTAAGATATGGAAACAACCCGTGTCCATCAGTAGACAAGCGGATAAAAAAACTGTGGTACATTTATACAATAGAATACTATGCAGCTGTAAGAAAGAAAGATCTCTTATCCTTTGAGACAACATGGAGGGACCTGGAGAGTATTATGCTGAGCAAGATAAGCTTCTTATGTAACTATCTCTGTGTCAATTCAGATCATGCTTACTCTGATAGTATTTGGAAGGGAACATTTTTATGGTTATGAGGGTTACTGAAGACCTGAGCAAGAATGTGAAAAAAATGTTCTGTAAACTATAAAACTCAACCCATATTTTTTGTTGCTGTTATTATTGTTAATATCACCAAAATACCAGTTTATCTGAACATTTGAGATACATTGAATTTGATCCATTTAATTACATCCAAATACTTGATTTTCTCTACCAAGTGTTTCAGATCTGCCTGTTTGTTTTTCTCAAATTTACACCTGTGTGTGTATTACCATGCTGTCTACCTATTTATGTGTATACAGACATATGGGATATACACACATATACACATATGTGTATGTACCGTGTATATGGTGTATATTCAAGATCCTTTAAAATAAATTCCAGTCTAGTGTTTCATATTATAGAATGGGGCTATGTTATTATTATGGATTTACTTAAAATGTTAATTTTCAATACAATTCAGTAATGCTGAATAAGATGATATTTGGGATATAAACCAACAATAGTCTTTGAAAGCCATAAAAACGTCAAATCCCTTTAGCTTAAAAAGTGTTTACTGATTGTATAAATGTATTTTATAAATATGCCAGAACATTACCGTAATGTTCAAAACTACAAATATAGACTTCTATTGATTAAACTGTAACTGATTTATTATAGAAAATGTTAAAAATCATTGCTAAAGTAGAAACATCTTTATCCTTTATGCTAACTGACTGTAATTTCATAATAATTGATTTGTAGACATCCACTTTGGATCATTTCTGAAGCTGAATTCAGAACAACATTAAGGTAAGCTGTTTATTAGGGATGCAAGTTGTGTGTGTGTGTGTGTGTGTGTGTGTGTGTGTGTGTTTTAAGCAATAAAAATATGTGGCAAAATTTTGTGTAAAAGAAAATTAAAACATATTTATAGTTTCTAAGCTCCTAGAAAGTTTCTGATTCATGATAAACACTCAATGATAATTGTTCCATTTTATCTTTTTCAATGATAAAAAATATCAAAACATAAGATAAAACTGTTTGAGAACAACTTGTGAAATATCCTCTCAGTGTTCACTCTGAAAATACCGATACAAGTAAATCACTGTGCAAATACACAGAGCAATTGAAGACAAATTAGTACTGAATAGTGTAGTACTCAGTAATGCCGAGTTCACAGAAAATGGAATGAGTTATCAAATGTGGAATGGTGTTATGAGGACATATTATTGACTTAATAATAATAATAATGTCAACAGCAATAACAATAGTATTTACTTAATGTTATTCAGACACTCTAGTAAACACTATATATATATATATGCTTTTTGTCATATACTCCTCAAAACTTCATGAAGCAAAAGTATTATCATTGCTATTATTAATTTCATTTTATAGTGAGAAAACTAGGGCTTGTCTGAAGTTATACAGCTGGTAAGTGGCATCCTGACCCACTGAAGTTCATCTAACACCCAAGTTTTGGTTTCCTACCACTATGTTAAACTACCTGGAAAAGATAAGAGTTAAGCAGCATTTTGTGAATTTTGGGCTGAGGAGATAATGAGAAGGGAATTTTTTGCTATATGAAGACCACGAACAAAAGTGTGAAAAATGAAATAGATATGCACACCCTAGCGTGACAAGTTGGAATGAAGAGCATTTGAGGAAAATGTAATAAAAATTGTACAGCTTGAGTAGATCGAGGTTACAAGGTTACAGACATATTTTGGTGGATAAAATTGAGTGTTCTAGTTTTATCACCAATGTCCTCTACCTGCAGACTACTAAGTTAAATTTTACTGTTGTAGTTGAGTATAAGAATCCCCAGTCTGGTCAGGATATGAGTTTTTTTAAAATTAATAAAAAATACTAGAATTAGAAGGGATCATTGAAAAATATCTAGTCCTATCAAGGCATGAAATGATGGCCCAATCCTGATAGAAGCAGTGGGAATAGAAAGGCATGCTATCGTCAAAAGACAGGAAAGCAAGCAAATGTGACAGTCTTTATGATAGATTGGGTAAAAGGAAGAAAGGAAAAGGGAGAACAGAGATCATTTTAAGTTTGCTCCTATGGAAAAAAGGAAAGAAATGTCCAAACTTTTTTTGTTAGAAAACAGAATGAGTTTGGATTCTCCATTTTGCATTGGCAATATTGATGGGGACTTACACTGATCTATTCTGTAGGACAGAAATGTAAATGAAAAAAAAAAAAAAGAGGTGAAGATTGGGTCCTAATTTCATTAACTATATTTGTTAAAGGCTTTAGAATGTGTGGCTTACTATGAAAGAATTAGTATAAAAATAGAAACACATGGGACTGCTATTTTAAACATCATTTTCAGCTGAACATTTTAAAAATAAGATATAGTTATATAATATTGAAAGTATATGTGAGATGATGCAACCTGTATAATAATCTTGCCTTCTATGCTTGTTTTGTTTGTTTGGGATTTGTTTATTTCTTTGTTTGACAATATAATGTTGATCTTTTAAAGTCAATAAATGCAAATACTTAAAACTCAAAACTGGAGTTACTTCCCTTGCTTTAAGCATACTTTTTTTTTACTGGTCTTTATCGTTATCCTGTTAACAGTGCTTCAGGTAAAATACAACTTGAAATCAATTGTATTTCAGAATTTAAATACTCATTCATTCACTGTGTAATGAAACATGTGAATGAGATGATAAAGAGGAGAAGCTCTACCTAGACCATAGTTACGGTATTTGGCGTGGTGTCTTCTGGTAATGCTGGCCTACAATACTGTAATGGTTTTGTAATACTATGACAGTTTTTTTTTCTAATATTAGAAAAAATACAGGATTAAATGTTATGTGCTACAGAATTATAACCTTCTTAAATTTTACTTAATATCTTCACTAAGAGTAAATGCATTAAATATTTATTTAGTAGGTAAATGCAATGCTAAATTCTGACCCTACCATAATACTTTTAGTGGCTATGACTTATCTTTTCAAGATGTTCACAGTCGAATATAAAAATATGTAAACAAGTTATTATAGCATAGTGTAATCCCTTGATATGGAAGCACTTCTGATGGAGTGGATCCAGATTTACTTCTTTTTCTCTAATTACAGTCGATATACAATGTTATATTAGTTGTACAACATAGTGATTAGACATTCATATAACTTGCGAGGTGACTATCCCAGTAAGTGTAGTGTCTAGGTGACACCATACATTGTTGTTTGAGTGGATCAAGACTGCTCATAAGTATCATCAAGGAAATGTGGATCTTCAGTTTATAAACATATGAAAAGGTATACTTTCTAAATTTGTATTTAAGCTTAATTATGTTTATTGGAAGTATAAAAGTGGTACAAACACTACAATGGTAGGCTTTGAATTTCTTAGAATTTGATTCTCAAAGAGGCAATAATTTTTTTTTTTTCTTTCTGTATTCAGAGTCTGGAAGGAGTCTTCATATAGAGCTATCAGTATATTTTTAGAAGACAGGGTTTAAAATGTGCAACATATTACCTGTGGTCTGCTACTTACTTTTCTTGACATCAAGAATGATACTTGTTAAATGCATTAAGAAGTTGAGTGGAAAAGTTATTACTTTGGTAACTTTTTTACTTAAGGTGTAAAATCATTGTTGCATAGGCAATGAAATGTTTTACTTCAACCTTTAAAAATAAATTTGACTGGGTTTAAAAATATATGGAGAGTTCATCTTCTGGCAGCTGTTAAATGAAAAACTCTAAAAACATGACACTTTGTAAAAATGCTTTTCTGAAATGGTAAGAAAGAATCTAGAGGACAAAAACGAAGTGGAAGTAGCAACCTTGAGAGTAAGCAAGGGCAAAACTGGGAACCGAAGATGGAGTCTGTGGCTAGCTCAAGTTGAAGTCAAATAGAAGAGACTCTCAGAGAACCAGTTCCTTCATTACAACACTCTAAGAGTGTGGATCTATAAGAAAGAAACCTACCCCTACGAATGTGCGTCAAAGAAACATACCTATCTAGACTTTGCCACTGAGTGGGGCAACACAGATTTGTTTTTAGAATTCAGAACTATTGGCCAGCCTTCATTGAGGTTTGGTGGCAGAATTTGCCTGTGTAGCCCAACAAACTTCATCAATAATTAGGGTGGTTCTAGACTCACAGTCAGTGGATGAAAGCCAAAGAATTGTTTATAGTATGAATCCAAATTCAATGCTTCAAAGATAAATTTCTAAAGGAATGTTAACAATTTAAAAATTACAAAGCATAAAGAATAAAATAGACTTGAGAGGAAGCTGAAAAAATATCAGAAGATACATACAATCTTACAGAGATATATTATATTGGAATGATCGGATTCAGAAAAAAATACATATGTTTAATATACTATTTTCTATTGCTGCCATAACAAATTATGAAAAAGTACAGATTCAACATCTTACAGTTCTATAGGTCAGAAGTCCAGTACAACTGTCACCAGATGGAAATCACAGTGTAGGTAAGATGCATTTCATCCCAGAGCCCCTAGGAAAGAATTGAATTGGTTTCTTGTTCCTTTGAGTTGTTGCCAGAATTCAGTTCCTTGTGGTTGTAGGACTGATCTTCTGATTTTGTTGCTGGTTCTAACTCAAGGGTTGCTCCTAGCTTCCAGATGCTGCTACATGCCTTGGCATTGGGCTCCTTTTCATTTTGAAAACCAACAATAGCAGATTGAGACTATCTCACTTCATATCTCTGATTCCTTTAGTCCAAGTTGGAAGGGTCTCTACTTGTATACAACTATCAAGAATTCTGTGGGATTTAATCCATTAGACAGGATTTTCAACAACTCCATGGACTCTCCTAAGTGCTGTAGTTTACTCAAAACTTGGCAGCTATCATTAATCAAAAGTCATTTACTTAGCACTGAATATGTGCTTACTAGTCTGTTAGGCACTTTGGGGAACACTGGGAAAAGTATTATAGTCTCTACTGTATTTTTCAGTGTCATTACAGGCTATTTATTATAGTACATTCTGGCAGGCTCTCCTTGTTATTTCCTTTGCACAATTGAATTACTTTGGATGTTTAATAACTTGAGTTTCTCATCAATTATGTTAGAATGGATTAGAGAATAGATATTAAAAGCCATTGCTTTATTTTTCAAGCATGACGAATGTAAGAAAATCTCATGACTCTTTATTCCATTTCATCAAAACAAGAATTTCTTCTTAAATAAAAGGAAATCTAAGAATGTAGAGGGCATTTAGTGCCTGAGATTCAATAAAAAATAAAATAAAATGACTGTGAATTTTAAGAAATCACACACAGGCTTTATTTACTCCCAGAATTACACAGTGATGATATTATGGAGATTAAGAAAACATTTTACTAATTATTAGTAAATAATAATTTGCTAAGTTTTGCTAGATGCATAATTTTATCTGAAAAATATATAGTCTTGTAATATTGCCTTTGGGCAGAAGCTGTTTGAATTATTAACTGTGACTCTTTAGATAAATTATATATCTTCTCTAAGCCTTCATCTCACCATAAAAAATTTAAAAACAGCCCTGGTCGGGTACTCAGTTGGTTAGAATTTGTCCCAATAAGCCAAGATGGCAGGTTTGATTCCTAGTCGCGGCACATGTGAGAATAAACCAATGAATGCATAAATAAGTGGAGCAACAAATCTCTCTCTCTCAAAAAATAAATAAAAATATTTTTAAAACTTAAAGGCAACTGGAATTCAAGTGCAGTCATACCTCTTGGCATGCTCATATTAGCAGGATGTCCAGTGTCTACACTTAAGGTCTTCCCTACCCCCACTTTCATTGCCCTAGATTTCCAGAAGATTGCTCTGT